TACAATGTCAAGGGTCACAGAATATTTACAAAATTTATTTTAGAAACGACCACCTCATTCCCAGGGTTTTATATCAACCATGTATTCATTTATATTCTAAAAAATTTCTATACAGTTTTTATTTAATTAAATATTGAAACTTGGTAATAGAGACCTTGTATATTTTCTTGGACTTTGTTGTATTAGCATATACATTGCCCCAAGAATGAATTACTGACTCTGTGGAGTCGAGAAACTGGTATCACCAGTTTGTGTTTGTTCCTAGTAATAAAAATGTATATACTTAGGAAACATTTCTACATCACCCACAGACCTTCAAAAGCCCATTGCTGAACACAGGCCTTTCCCATAGAAACGATATTAGCTATAGAAGACTGCCTCGTTGGTCTAGTGCCCGAAAACGTGACTACTGATCTTGTGGTCTCGCGTTCGAATCCGGGGTCGGTCTAAACCAGTTTCTGGTTTTGTTGTGAAGTAATTCTTCGGCATGTTTGAGCTTTGTGTCTCTGAAAAGTGCGTAAAGCCGTTGGTCAATTTCTCTAAATTCGTGTCGGTTTGTCGTAATATTGGACTGAGAGTGAGAAAAACACTCGAGCACTATACAACTACAACAACAAATAAAACTTTCCAATCTTTTACTGGCATGATGGTGCAAATGTTTAAATCGGTATTTCTACAACACACAAAGACAACCAGCGTATGTGGAAGACGAAGCTGTCACGCTCACAAGCCCGTCAATTCAGCACCGTATTTTGAAACATTACAAAAATAATTACAGCACGCCGCAGTGACTCGAAATTATAATAATAATTATGATCTTATCTAAAAAAGTATATTCAATACAAGTATATTATTTATGTTTTACAACTATTTATTTATTAGTAACCCTAATCCTATGTCTTATTCTCTATGTATTATATTAACTAATTATTTAATGTATTCATACCTTCACTTCTTTTTAGGCAATCATGTTCTTTCTTGTGAATGCAGAATTTCAACATTCTCAAAATTCCATTTCAAGATGTTTCTCATGACATTTTAACCATAACCTAAAAAATAAAAACAAAACAAACTTTGGGTTAGGGATTCATTAAAAATGATACACATAAAATCTACAAAAATAATACTTAAAAATTAAATATGTTTATTAAATTTCCGATTATATATGACCTACAAGTCTGACATAACTTAAAAACCAAAATACTAGAGATAAATAATAATTCTAAAACGAAATTGTTGATCCTTGACAAAGTTGTATAAAATATAGCAGCAGTATTACATTTTTAATTTCTATTGATTTCTTAACCACACACATTTGCTGAAATTATAATATGCATACTGTTTTTATATTTCTGATATTGTATTATGCTATCGATTGTAATTTTAACACATAAAACTGCAGCTAAAAGTCAACACGGTAAATTGTTACACAATGTCCATGTAAGTGAAATGTTATGTTTCTAATAGTGTTTCGGTTTCTAGTGTATACCTTTATACACAAAACAATGTCTCAGTCATCACTCTTTCATTTTTTTGCTTCCTTTTTTTGCTTATATTAATATCCCTAAGTTTAGTTTATCCATGTTAATCTAATTAATAAAATTTTAAGTTTTATTTCAGAATGAAACATTAAACTTTATATTTTCCTAACAATTTAACTTCACCTCCATAAAATCTGTCTTGTCATCTTAATTCAAAAAGCGCCGCCCTGGTGGCAAAAAAAAAATAGTGGACATTGTTAATGTTCCTTTATTATACAGTTATATCCCCTACCTATTGATTTTTATTACACCATCTCTTAAGTATGCCGTCAAACACTTTAAGTTTTATTTTATTGTCTATAACACAACTGTGTATTGCAATAAAGTTAGTTGACACATTATACGTATTGAAGACAAATTTTACTATTTTAAACTAAATATTATTAGAAATAATAAAACGCCTTTACCTGTTATACTTATGTAATTTATCTTCGAAACTCGTTCTGAGATGTAAAGAGAAATTTTAATGCATTCTGTGGTGCCTGTCTTTAATGAATAAGATATTCTGGTAATCATTTTTTTTTTATTAATAACAACAATATTGTTTGCAGATTCTGATACTGAAAGCTTCGGATGTACAGGGCCAGATTAAGTAGAAAACAGCAAAACGAACTGAAGCCCCAGGGCTTTAACAATGTAATTTTCGTAAATTTGGCTAAACTAATTACTAAATATTACCAAACTAGTACCAAAATGTAAATAGATGGCGTTTGAATGCATTAGGGAGTCAACATTACCAAAATGAAAATTACTGGAACACTAAGTCATTTTTTTTGTTGTTAAAAAGTTTTTGAGCCTTCAGTTCCTGACGCCCCTAGCTTTCTTGAAATCCGATACTGGATACGAAAGGCTTCTTTCTGTATAAGGTCCAGTACTTTGATTCTGATACTGAAAGCTTCAGTATGTACAGGGTCGGATTAAGTAGAAAACAGCAACACGAACTGAAGCCCCAGGGCTTTAACAATGTAATTTTCGTAAATTTGGCTAATCTAATTACCAAACTAGTACCAAAATGTAAATAGATGGCGTTTGAATGCATTAGGGAGTGAACATTACCAAAATGAAAATTACTGAAACACTAAGACATTTTATTTTGTTGTTAGTTTTTGAGCCTTCAGTTCCTGACGCCCCTAGCCTTCTTGAAATCCGATCCTGGATATGAAAGACTTCTTTCCGTCCAGTACTTTAGCTTTGTTAGTTTTACGAAATATTTTTTCTCTTCATTGCATACTATAAAGTAATATTAATTATTATTATTATTCACCACCAGCTGTGCACTTACTAAATTATAATTGCATAAAATCTTATTAAAGCGGTTAAATATTTTTGAACTATAGGTACCATAGAATACTATAATTACACAATAGAATGGCTGTCAACTTTATTATGTACGAGGCTTGGCGTCGCCAAACCCGACACAAATACACAAGCTGTTAAGGTTCAAATCATCATTAAAAAAATCGTTTAAATTTTAATACATATTATTTGTAAATAGGTCAATTTGGCATTTTCTAAATAATTTGCATGCGAAATATGGACATTTACGTTAAACACATCTCGTGTTGACATCTATATGTGTGAATTGACGTGTTAGTGACATTTTAGTGGCTAAACGGGCTCAGACCACTCCCCCGTTCTATTATGTATGTATTATAGTATTCTGTGATAGGTACTGTGCGGACTCACCAGCCTCTGATCGTGGCAACACTATTTACTGTAAAATATTAAGTTAAATCTAGCATTACCTGTAATTCGACGCGTCAATTTAATTATAATGATTTCTGTTTATCATTCTGTAAGTTACTTTCATCTGTGTATTATGTCACCAGCAACCCACACACTAAAATAATTATGTATTGCTTGTTTAAAGCAACTGGAAACAGCAACTTTTAAACTCCTCATACTTTTATTAATATCAGGCATATAAATAAAATTCTTATAACTTTGTTTTAATTACTACTTCCATATTGCCTAATATGCCAAAAATAATTTTTTCTTCATATGTGTAATTTGGGTGTTATGTGAAACACCTAAAATAACTTCTGTGGCAGATACTGTGGTTATTCATAAGTTTTCTATTTTGTAGGATTGGGCATAGAACTGAATTATTATTTTTGTTTTTATACATTACTGAACAAAATTCCGCTATTTTATTCCTGCAAGTACAACACTAAGATTCTGTACCAGTTACTTTATTGAGATAGTATTTGACAGCCATTTGTATCATTCATTGGTGTCATAATATGTATACTACTTCACCCAGCAGACACACGCAGAGCAGTTATTTGCCAGGCAGGGGTTGTTATAAGTATTACTCCAAATTCGTTGCAAACTTTTTACAGTGTATATATAACATCAAATAATAACTACTAGTGTCACCTCTATCAGGTCAGATTTTGTGATATGTCTGACACTAAATCAACATAATTTGTAAATATGAACTTTTCAGTGCATTAATTTAAATGTAGAATTTGTAAATAACTTTGCTACGTCGCAAGGTATCGAATCCTAGCTATAAACCATCGTCTAAACAAAATAAATATAATGCATATGACCTCATCAGCCAAGTTTAACAACACCACACCAATATTATACAAATACTTTAAATAGTAAACAAATCCTTCCCTAGTTTTCCTATCCATCAGGCTGCTTTTACTTGATATCTATGACACTTCTATTATCTAAGTGCTTAAAATTCTGCTTCTAATAAATAACTTTTAACTATAAGAACTCTACATAACTCCATACATATTTTTAATTAATGTAACTATTGTTGTCCTATAGATACTTGTTATCCACTGTATGTCAATCATAAGTGTCGTATTTTTATGTCAATCCAACTTATCTTCACCTAATAAACTATAAGCTTTTATTAATTTTAACTTTAAGATGTCTAATATACTATCCATTTATTTAATTACAGTTAGGTTCATAAAGTGTGACCCATCAATAAGCAGTATTTTTTATTACTATCTGTAAATGCAGAAAATATATTCACCAGTTTTGTATAAATAAATCACACACATTATCTTTCACAATTTTATTATGAATTGCGTCCTTAATATCTAAAACATAAATGGTAGGTAGGTATCTATATACCACAGTTACAGTAAAATCGTAAAATACATCATTGTAGTTATATCTTTCTATCATTGTGGGTCACTAAAATATTATGATATATTGAGATTGACATAAGCTATATAAAATAGTTTAACATGTGACAAAATTTTGCTTTCAAATAACTCATTGCACTGAAAAATTATGATAAATTTTAAAATAAATATTCTTGTCAAACTTATGAGAAGATTAATTTGTATTATTTTTACCTTACTTAACACTTAAAAATGCAATTATGCAAAACTACACAAGTAAATCCATAAGCTTCATTAATTCGATCCAGCTACATTTATTTCGTGTGTGGCATATAGACGCAAATACTTTCTGTTATAGTCAATCAGATCACCAACTGCCTGTAATACAAACAATTAGACAGATACTTAACATGATAGGAAGTAGACTGCTTTAGTTTAAATAAATTTTTAGTTTTTCTGAAATGGAACACCCATATTTTATGCAATGCCAGCTACTTAAAATTTTAACTTATAGTCCGTACTGGTAACTCTTGGATATTATAGCAACCACTTGTGCATTTGTGAGTCTACTGTTTCTCCATCATATCTGCTTATTGGCAAATGAGATGTATATTTTAGCAGACTTAAAAAAGGAGGAGTATTTCAATTTTCCTTTATTTCATATGTATGAATAAACACCATACAATTATTTTGTCAGTAAGCCAGCAACACATCTTCATTTACAGCCCAAACTTACCGGCTTAAGATTACTTTTATTAGGCTTACATATACATAATTCTATCATATTTATTATTTACTTAAACTTTTACGTAATAATAAATATATCAGCTGACTATACGAATTTACAATTGGCGCGGGCGACGGTTTATGGCGTAATTTATTTAAGAATCACACCATTAATTACCTCAAATACAAAAAAATGTTTTCATTAACAAAAGAAAACTATTTGATGCAATAAAATCACAAAAATCTATCAAAGATCTAATTCGGCTGACTACGAAATATCTTCTGTAATGCGTACCTTAAAACTAGAAAACAAGAATATACACCCACTGCATATTGCCAATGGTGTACATATAGATCTGAGACATGTTTCTTCACTATCAGTAGCGAAGCCTCCATAGAAGCCGAGAAGCCGGGCTTGCCCTATCAAACTGCTCAATCAATAATATCAAGTAATAAAATAAACTCGTAAACTGTTTCAAAGTATTTCAAATTTCCCGCGCTCTCCTCTTTTCTACACAGGTCATGACCTCGTAACCTTATTTGTAACGTTAACACTTGGCAGATTGCTTTCAATTCGAAATACACTGATTCGTGTATTCTGTCTCAAAGCTTGAGCGATAAGTCGTCTCTCTCGCACGCGTGATCTTTTTACTGGGCTTTCGAGAAGACGATCGCTCCGTTTCTAACCTGTGGCAAAATGTTCTATAATGAAATATAACTACTATTGTTTATATAGCAATTAGTATAGAGCGATAAGCCGAGCTTTCGGTGCGAAGTTAGACGAGCGCGGGGGCGCACGGGCACGGGCACGTTTGCAAGTCCACTTCACGTTTCAATATTTACTGTGTGTTACCGTAAAATGGGGGGAATAGGGTCTAGGGGGGCAATAGGGTTTAGGAGGTGAATTGGGACAAACCTCAAGTTTTATCTGCGACCTTATACACACATTTATGTTACGTATTACATTTTGTGGTAGGATTTAAATTTGAAGCTTGCAATATTTTTTCTATAATCTGGCAACACTCAGCCATCCTGTCATAAGTATTTAAAAAAAACGTACTTCAATACATTGGATACGTTACCAAAAAAATAAATAACACAAAAAGTGCTAAAGGTAAAGGTGTAAAAAAAAACACAAGAAAATATGTCTTGAAAAAGGAAATAAATCGCCATCGCCAATAGCACATTATTCAACGGCATTCGAAACAATCATAACTGAAACGAACAATTTGCCCGCATCTGATAATGATCAAGAACAGCGTAGTGATTGGCGGGATATATAAGTTGAAAAATTACCCATTGTGCTAACAGAAGATTTACAATTGTATGAAGAAATAGTAATACCCTGGTGCGAACCTACAGATTTGAAAGGAACAAATGTGAAATAAGAAATAAATCTGATAGAAATTGAAAATGAACACGCCAGTACTAGCACTGCAAATGAACCCAACATTATAACAAAACTTTTTCCGAAAAATCCAACCAAGCAAACTTTGAAACCAGTAGCCATAAACCAAAAAATAAATGTTACTAAGAAAAAGAATTACTATAATGACAGTGATGAAATCCTAAAGATTCTAGAAAATTAGTGAGTTTGAGCTATGACTTGTAATTGTTGTTGATTATTGAAAAAATACTTACGTATAAAAATACTTACGTATTTATTCAATAATTAATTATTAAACAAATATCTACTGTTTATTTTATTATTAATTATTTAATAAATATATACGGCTGGCCGTATGAGGACGCTCAAGGTCGCTCAGCGAGCTATGGAGAGGGCTATGCTCGGAGTTTCTCTGCATAATAGACTCAGAAATGAAGATATCCGCAGTAAAACCAGAGTGACCGACATAGCCCAACGGATTAGTAAGCTGAAGTGGCAATGGGCCGGCCATATAGCTCGAAGAACCGATTACCGATGGGGAAGAAAGGTTCTCGAGTGGCAGCCTCGTACCGGTAGGCGTAGTGTAGGGCGACCCCCCACTAGATGGAGTGACGACCTGGTAAGACAAGCAGAAAGTCGATGGATGCAGGTGGCTCAGTACCGTGCTTTGTGGCATTACTTGGGAGAGGCCTATGTTCAGCAGTGGACTTGTGAGGGGCTGTAATGATGATGATGATGAAATATATACGTATTAATTGAAAAATAATACTGTCTATTTTTAATATTTTTTAAGTTTTAGAAATTTTAATTAAGTTTGATTTGAGATGACTTTATTTTATGTTTATTTGGAAGTAAGATTTATTTTCTGTTTTGTTTAATTTTAAGTAAAAAAGAACATTGATTTCATTAATGGATATTTATTTTTCACTACATTTCTAACTTTATTTATATATGATTATTATATAATTATGATTTTTTACATTTTATATTATGAGACTGACACTTTAAAACCTGGTAGATATATGTCAAGTACGTAACCTAAAAAGACACTACCTACCAGGTAGGTAGTTATTGTAGGTAGCCCTAGCGAAAAACTCTATTAACCCCTTAGGCGACCCGATTCACCCCAAGGCCTGGGTGAATAGGGACAAGTGAGTTTTTATAACTTTTTATGGTTGTTTTTTAATAAACCATATTTTGATGCATTATAAATGAAAATTTAAAGTACCGGAACCATTATGATATGCGTTTTATTACTATAACTACAAAAATAACTATAAAAATCAATAAAAAGTGTCCCGATTCCCCCCATTTTACGGTACCTTGAGCGAATGAATATTGCGAGTTGAAAATTTATGCTTTTTTAAAGATTTTTAGTGAAAATGAAGGATAATAGTGATCCTTGTGATGAATTGAAGTGTTAAAGTGCTAATCGGCGAGGTAAAGGTAAAATCTTTAAACTTTGTTAAGAAAAAACAGTAAATCAACGCCTGATCTGTGAGTGAAAATATTATTGGTACAATTAAAACGTTCACCAACATTTTTTTTACGCGGACGTAATCAAATTATTAGTTTTTTTTTTTAATTTTGTACATTGTTTATACATTAGTTCATGTAAATTGTATGTAAATATTTTTTTCTTTCGCTCAAACAAACCCCAATGGCTTTTTTAAAGCCACTGAAGGTATGCAATTGCTGTTATTTCATTCAATCTATCTAGCAGTAGTATGCCTTATGTGTGCTTTGTTAAACACGTCCTCGACAGCACTGAACAGTGGAGACAGAAGATTGGTGTATTTTTATAAAACTGCTAAAAACAACAAAACCATACCTTGGGCTTGCCCTAGTTTGGAACTCTAGCTTCACCACTGTTCACTGTTGGCTATATAAGAAAGCTCAAAAAGGTATGACAGGGCTGTGCTTTTAGTTTCTCTGCGTGATAGACTTCGCAATTAGGATATCTGCAGTAGATCCAGAATAACCGACATAGCGCAACGAATTAGTAAGCTAAAGTGGTAACGAGACAGCCATATAGCTCGAAGAACCAACCATTGATGGGGAAGAAAGCCTCGTATTACTAAAGGAAGTCAGCCCCTCACTCGAAAAAGTGACGACCTGGTAAAAGATGCAGAAAGTCAATGAATGTAGATAGCTCAGAACCGTGCTTTGTGTTTTGTGTAGGCCTTTGTTTAGCAGTGGATTTGTTATGGGCTGTGGTACTAAAACTAAGTGTAAAGAAGCTCTGACTTCAGAAGCTAATTAGTGAAAACATTTTTTTTTCTTTGAGTTGTCTTTTACTTTACTATAAAAGAATAATCTTTGACCCTTTTAAAGGGACTAAGAAAGATCATAAGCTCAAGGCAGCAATAAGAATGTGTAAAAATTGCATCCTGTATTTTTGACACTTTTTTTACACTTGAATGAGTTTTTCACACCGGATGGAAAATCTATTCATAAAAAATGCTTCTAATTGACAAAGATATTGCGTTATAGATATACAAAAAGGAACAGTCAACTGAGATCCTCCTTCTTTACGGTCAGCTAATATCAATCAAATATGTATCAAATAGCTGGCTGATGTAATTGAGTAAAAAGTTTATTTGGTACATATTTAGATGTATTCATTTCAGAATTAAAACCTATATGTTGGAAAATCTTCCATTCTCAATCTTTTCGTTTTTTCTTATAAACATACCCTTTATTGTTCCTACATCAAAATCCCTGACCTAATTACCTTATTGGATTTTGACTAAAATATCAAATATTTTGATTTATATAAATTATTATTATTATTTTGATAAACATAAATACTATTAAAACAGTTAACAATTCTACTTATGTAACTTTTCTGTTAATTATATTATTCTGATCCAATAATTTTATAACCCGAAGTTAAAGCTATGCAAATTAGACTTAAATAATTCAATAGAAATCACTTTATATACCAATCTTTTTTGTTCCTTTTCTACATACAGTATTTGTTGGATATGGGTAATCGGACTTTTTAGATTGTGAAAGTATATAAGTATTAAATTATGAAATTACCCCTATAACTTAGCTCGAATTTCTACTAAATGTATTTAATTAGTTAATGTATTTAACTTTTTTTTTAAACGAGCATTTTTCGTAACAATTATTGAATAATATAAACCCTCACATTTGGCAATATTTTAATATTACACAAATTAAACAGTTTTATAAACCACTTTAAAGCTTATTAAAACATCCTAAACATGCAAACTAAATTCTTTAAACTGGCATATACATACACTTCAAAACTGTATATTCTTACATTAAATACAAATTGTTCCATTGTTTAAATATCCTGAAGATATTATCCCTGTCTTAGTTTTACTATATAAAATATAGATACTCCCAAATTACTTATCACATAGCAAAAAGGTAAACTAGAAAATTTCCTTGTTAAAGTAACATTCCACATATTAGCAAACCTTTTTCCTTTTAAATAGTATGTATTTTAAACATGATTTTATTTTGTATAAGTTGGGACAGCTTGGGTACTATTGATAGGATCTCAACCCTATTATAAATATTATTATGGCTGCATAATTTTTAACAATTTGATACTACAATAAATGAGCTATACCCAGAAGTTAAGATGGATAAAAAAATTCAAGGTTTTCTTATAAGCCCACACTTACCTAAAGACATGGATCTACAATATGACAATAAATCTATAATTTAAAAAAATATTAATGGTAATTGTGATGTAATGAAAAAAATAGAGTGTATTTTAACATAATCATTTACCTTTCCGCTACAAGAGTAGTAGTTTGGGTATAGTGAAAACTGAAAATTCACTAGCAATAAAGTATGCCCGGTAGCATAGATTTATATTAGTATTAGTGGTAGTTACCGTAGTTGTTGGTGTACTGAGGCTGCGGCTGCTGGTAGGAGGTGTAGGCGGGCTGCGCGTACGCGTCGTAGGCGGGCGCAGGCCCGGCGTGCGCGGGCCCGCCGTACGCCGCCTCCGCCGCGCCGTAGCCCGCGTCGCCCGCCCCTCCCACCCCTCCCGCGCCACCACTGCCGAACCAATTCACAAGTGATACATTCTTTATACAGTTTTTTTCGTAAGCATCGAATTTATTCCCCCAAACTTCTGTGCCAATTACCCGTCTGCGAAGTTTCACGTTAAGCATTTTGTACAAACATTCTTGACTTGGTTAGGTTCAGTGCAGAAGGGAAATTATTTCATGAAGGTATCCCACAGCCGTAGCCCAACATTTAGACTGCCACCAGTTAGTCGCGTTCACAGAGGATACCCGCATGAATTAATCTACTTAATGCTACTTAAACTAGAACAGGTATATTCTCTTACATCTTCCAAGGGTAAGCGCAGTGATACATAAATACTGGGTTTAAAATTTCTATTTCCACCGGCAGCACCAAAATTAATTCCTATGAGACACTTTTAGGTAAGCTGTAAGAAAGAGGGCTGTAAATGTAATACACAAAAACTTTCATACGTCCAACCATAGTAGCACAGTTAAAGCGATTTTTTTAATTATATTGTTTGGTAAATGCCATAAATGCGCTATTTTTAATTCTTTATCAGCGCTAAACTAACAAAATTCGAAATATAAGGATTTGTTATTTATATGAAACCCAAAAAATATTTCTATGTCCATTATAGACTTTGAAACCATCCAACTGATGTACCCCAAACCAGTTTAATTATGAAGGCAATAATGAGAAGATGGTTGAAGAACACTGAAACAATGCATTGGGCACTATATAAAAAAATAAACAAAATTTCTTTGTCTCCAAGAAATAAAATGTATTTCTTTTTTTAACGTAGTATCACACGCCAGGTATTCACTAGTGACCTTTAAAATACATATTAAACAATTATTGTAAATACACACCTATATCCATTATTTTCGTAACCACCTTGACCACCTGTAGAGTAGCCATAATTTGATCCATAGCCACTAGAATAAGAACTTGCTTGGGCTGGAGCTGGAGCAGCATAGCTTCCACTTTGATATGAACTAAAAAAATAAAAAGACTTGTAGTAGAAGCTTTTAAATGTAAATTAATGCTTATTTTGTAACATATACCATAAATCAGAATGCAAAGTTTCGGCATCTAAGTATCAGACGGCAATTCCTATCTTAAATATTTTCATCATATGTACATGTTTAAATTAATAAGCCATATTAAAAAATTAAAAAATAATTACCCAGGTGTATTATATGATGGTGGTGTAAAAGGCTCTGCTGAAGGTTGCTCATATGGCTGGTAACCAGTATGCCTGTTTTAATAAAAACTTTTTAGAAATCTATTTACAATATTTAAAATACAGTAAATCTCTAAATAACATCAGATTATAAAATAACGTCATATATGTATCAGACGGCACATTCCTATCAAAAATGTGGATCATCATTAAGATTTTTCAGACATACTATCACTAGCTAAGTAGTTGCTATTGTAAAATAATTTAAAGGTTTGATTTGTATTTTACTTCATACGAAACCTTACTTCATATTGAATAAATAAACAACAAAAATAATGTGCTTAACATTTTTCCTCAATTTATATTTCTGTTTAAATTGCTTATAAAGGAGCTGAATTCAATTTTTCCATTACTGTTTTAACACATGAACACTATAAAGAAAATTGCTTCCAAAATTATTGGTTTTGTTAAAAATATATGTCAATTGTACCAGGAAATGCCTTTGTCCATCTTCATTATACTAAAGATAAGACAGTGAAATAGTAACCAGCACAATGACATATTTTCGTATTTATAATATTAAAAGAATTCACAATAGAAAAATGTGTAGTTAGTAATTATTACAAACAAGCTTGACAGAATTATAAATAAACCTTTCAATAGTTAATAACTGAATTCTGCCTATTTTGGTCACCTAAAAATATTTTTTTATTAATATAAAATCACAAAACTAACTTACAGTCCACCTGATGGGAAGTGGCTACTGCAGTTCATGGACACTTGTAGCTAACTTAAAACGCAAAGTAGTTACAGACAGATGCCTCGTCACTTCTGGGAACTAAGACGAAATGACACACAACCTGTAATTATATACTGGCTCTATACCCTTTAGACCAGAACACATTTCAATCACCGCTATTTAAAGGCAAAACTAGGGAAGAGAGTGGTACTTATCCAGACAGACTCCTACGAGTCCTACCTAGTGAATAACATTTGCAAAACAGTGTAAACATTAACTTACGCAGGCGGGCCATAGCCGTTAGGTTGTGGGGGATTATGTGCAGGGGCAGCTTGATATCCTGCCGGCGGCAGAGGTCTGGCGCTGCCCCCTCCTCGTGGTCCATCAAATCTAAATCCAGCAAATACATTGATACAGGGATACTTAAAATATAAACTTTACAATATGTTGAAAATAAAAATTTACTATACTACACTCAGCGTCACAAAAATCGCACCTCTCTGAGTTTGCGCGAAAAATGGATGTAATGGCTAGAAACGAATTATATTTGTATAAAAAAAAAAACAGCCTATGATGAATGCTATAAGAGACGAGAATGGCTATATTCTGAATGATGAAGTTTTGAGTTCAAAGAGATGGAAGGAATATTTTGAAAGTGTGTTTATGAGTGAGGAGACAATGTGTGTACTAAGTGAAGTAGAAACTCCGAAAGTAGAGGAAAGAGGTAGCGAGATAAGTATAGATGAAATAATGAAAGCAATGAAAAGCACGAAAGCAGGTAAGGCTGCCGGATATGATAGAGTTTCACTCGAAATGCTAAGGGCTGGAGAGGAAGTGGTGGCAGACCTGCTGCACACCTTGTTTAATTTATGCTGGGAACTGAAGCGGGTACCGGTAGACTGGTGCAAAGCCGTGATAGTCCCAGTATATAAAGGAAGAGGGTCGCAGCAGGACTGTAAAAACTACCGTGGCATCAGCCTTCTTAGCATTGTGGGAAAACTGTATGCTAAGGTACTGATTGAAAGGGTCATGAAAGAAACTGATGGAAAAATTTGGGATGTGCAAGCGGGATTTAGAAAGGGAATGGGATGTACAGATCAAGTCTTTTCCATGCGCATGATCGCGGAGAAGTTTCTGGCCAAAAACCAAAAGGTTTTTTGTGCATTCATGGACTTGGAAAAGGCCTATGACAGAGTGGATAGGGATTTGCTATGGCAAACACTGAACTCATTTGGGTTGAGCACTGGCTTGATACAGGCATTGGAGCTATAGGGACCATGCTGTGTTAGGATCAACGGGGTCTACTCGGACTGGTTTGACATCCATAAAGGTGTCAGACAGGGCTGTGTGGCTTCCCCGTGGCTGTTCAACCTATTTATGGACAGTTGTTTGCAAAATTTGAAAGTTGAAGAATGCGGATTAAGAATGGGTGAGTTAACCGTCAAATGCCTTTTGTACGCCGATGATCAAGTTATTCTTGCGTCGTCGGCGGCCGAGTTGCAAATGATGGTTACATTAATGAACGGATCATTAAAAGAAAGGGGTATGAAAGTGAACGCAAGTAAGACGAAGGTTATGGTTTTTGAAAGAGAAGACAGTAAAACGATTTGTGAAATAAGAATAGAAGGGGAGTTGATCGAGCAAGTAGATGAGTTTGTATATTTGGGATGCGTATTTAGCAGGGATGGGAGATATGATAAGGATATAGAACGACGAGTGAATGCGGGAAATAAAGTAAATGGGGCCTTGCACTCTATTGTGAAGAGTCAAAATGTGTCGAAAAAGGCACGTATGGCAATTCACAATGCTGTGTTGGTCCCTACTTTAACGTATGGTAGTGAAAGTTGGGTGTGGCGGAAGAAGCACGAGAGTAGAATAAACGCAGTAGAAATGCGGTCGTTAAGGAGTATGTTAGGGCTGAATCTGAATGACAGGGTAAGAAATTTTGTAGTAAGAGAAGAGTGTGGTTTGCAAGATGATGTTGTGACTAGGATTTAGAAAGGAATGCTTCGGTGGTTTGGTCATGTGGAAAGAATGAATGAGGAAAGAGTGACAAAGAAAATTTATGGTGCAGAAGTGAATGGTAGAGTCGGAAAGGGACGTCCTAGGCGAAAATTTATCGACCAAATTGACGATTTATTGAAAACGGGCCAAATTAGGAGTACCCTTAACCGACGAGCATGTATGCGTAGGTGTATGGATGTGAAGGAGGCAAGAGAGGTGTGTCAGGATCGTGCCAAATGGAAGTCTGTAGTCTCCGCCTACCCCTCTGGGTGACAGGCGTGAGTGTTTATGTTATGTTATGTTATTTATATAAATATTGGTATGTTTGAAATGGGTATTTGAATAGCTTTCCATTATTAATAAAAAAATCATGAAATCATTAGAACATTTATCATTATAGAGCGTCAAAAATAAACACTGTCAAATGCTCGTTAGTAAGGACGCTAGTTACACCACCTAAAAAGGGTATAAAAGGGTCGATCTGGATGAAATATGGGTCAGTCGTAATTTAGACTTTGCAGTGAACACACGTGAACAAGTAACCCAAGTAAGAACAAGTAAAGATGGACACCAGCTCTGAAGAAGCCGCTCAAGTGATTGCCCTATTGCAGTCGGGGATGCGGCAGTGTGACGTTGCTCGACAGTTGAACCTGTCCCGTTTTTCAGTTTGACGGGTGTTCCAACGTTTTTATCAGACTGGTGGTTATGTTAGAAAACCGGGATCTGGAAGAAAACTGTGCACATCAGAAAGAGATGACCGTTTCATCGTTACGACATCTTTACGAAACCGTTTTACAAATGCTGTTGAGTTGCAACTTGCAACAGCTTCGATCAACTCGGAGAACATCTGTGAGTGTTTCTACGATAAGAAGAAGGTTACATGAAAAGAGTTTAACAGCCCATAGACCTGCTAAAGGTCCAAAACTTACTGCACAGCATCGCAGAGATCGCCTAGTTTGCTCGCAATCATTGCGAGTGGACTCTAGATTGCGAGTGGACTCTAGAACAGTGGCGGACTGTACTCTTCTCTGATGAGACGAGGGTCTGTCTCTTCTGCAATGACAGACGTAGAAGGGTCTACAGAAGACAGGGGGAGAGGTTCACACAACCCTGCTTCGAAGAATCCGTCGAATACGGGGGTGGCTCGAGTATGTTTTGGGGCGGCATTTCCGTCGAAGGGAAAACGGAACTTGTGTGCGTTTCCCGGACTCGGGGTGGCCGTGGGCAAGGGTCATTAAATGCTGGTCGGTACATTACTGAAATCCTGGAGGAACATGAGGTCCCGTATGCTGGTTATGTCGGTGATGGATTCATGTTATGCATTAATGCTCGTTGCCACACCGCGGCTATTGTACGGGATTATTTACAGGAGGTCGATATCCCTGTCATGCATTGGCCAGCACGAAGTCCAGACCTTAACCCAATAGAACATCTCTGGGATGACCTAAAACGGCGCGTGCGAGCTCGAGATCCAGCTCCAACAACTCTTCAAGAGCTCCAAGATGCGGTACCTGAAGAGTGGGAACAAATACCCCAAGAGGCTGTTGCGACCCTTGTAAGGTCCATGAAAGATCTCATGGAAGCCGTTATCAAGGCAAGGGGGGGTAACACTGGGTTTTAAGAACTTTTTTTGTATTTATTAAGTTTTTTTTTAAATTATTAAATTGCAAATTTGTCCATACCCTGTCTTTTTCTTTAATTTCTCTTTCGTCTCGTTATAAAAGTAAAATTCAATTTCGAATGATACCCTCAAACCACAACATTGCCATTGGCCTGTTGTGTTAAAATAGTATTTAAATTATTTTTTTCGGATGTGCGATTTTTTTGACGCCGAGTGTATATTATATAAAACTAAATTCAATTCAGATTAAATCAGATACTTCTAATATGTCTACTTGTTTTTAAGAAAAGATTGTGAAGGTGTATACAGCAAGCAAGCAAGTTTTTTTTAAATATTTTGACAAAAATTTAGAATGACATGTTTCCTTGGATTTTATGATGCCGAATTTATTTGTATAGGTATTGTATGTACTTTAAAAATTTAAGAAAAGTGTGAACACAAGTGGCCTGCCGCTAATGATTTTTTTTTTCTCAACCCTATGGTGGACGCACCATCAGCTTAGTATTTTTTGTAATTGAACTTACCCTAAATCAAGTCTAAGAAAAATGGAAATTTATAACAAATAACAAAATAAGTATATTTTTATATATAATTGTTCTTTTAATACTAATTTGATTTCCAATGTCTCTCCTTCCAAAACTCACTCTACATGGGTATTGATGAGTTTTGCAGGCTTGGGTATTCAATAATATGGTAATCCTTTACGGAGACTATACCTGCTGTTCCACATATAAGTCAACATTTTAGTTACAAACCTTCCACGTTTAGGTGGGCCACCTCCTCCATGTGGTGGGCCTCCGCCTCGTTTATATGGAGGCCCTTGTGGTTGGCTAGGCGGAGCTCCAGTCGGCTGATGTGGTACAATTGCTCCTCTAGGCGGCAAATTTGGAGGACCACTTGGAATAGGTGCAGGGGGCCCATGAGGACCCGGATGTGGAGGAGGACCACCAGGTGGCCCACTCATGGGTGCTCCTGGACCTCCTCCTCTACCACCGCGACCTTATAAAAGTGAAAGTTGTTTTAAAGTTTTGTTATGTTGAGTTGGGTGTGAAAGAGACTATAAAAATGGTAGAAAACGGCAAGGCACAGCATGCCAATAAAGGGAGGTTGAAGACCATCAGTGGACTGTTACAGGTTAATAAATATGAAGAAAAAGACATTTACTCTAAACAATTATCACAATGAAATGCAATAATAATATAGGTTACTATCCATGACAATCTCAATCTAATGGAACTAAAAAGGTACAAAGCTTGGTCCTGAGCATCCATCATCCATCAACTTCCCGCACCTTTTAAAAGGTTGTCACTCCATCTAGTGGGAAGCCACCATACACTGTGTTTGACATTATGATGCTGCCATTCTGCAGTTAATGATAATGGTGACAATAATAAAATTTTACAAATTGTTAAAAGTAAGAATGGCAACTTGTGGCATCCCTTGAAGGATGCCTATGTTCCCATGTCAGTTTGTGATGGGCTGTAATTGCGATGACGCAAAGTGGCAAATGAGTGCATAAAATAATAATAACAAATACATTGATCTATCATGTAATTGAAGTCACAGATGTATCACCTTTCAGTTTTTATGGCAGTCAAAACCAATCCATAACGGCACACACATTCCTCATGAAGCAACATAAAGTATGTTTGTTAATTATTGAATTAGTAATATTTAGTATTTTTGAAATACTAATTCTTTCCTTTTCTGTGTTAAGTTATTTCACCTAACTATACATTTAAGACGAGAGAATTGTAAATTTGTTCTTATAAGACTAGCTATGACTGTGACTTCATCCGCATGTAGTCCAAATTAACTTAATTAATTAAAAACAATATGTGATAATTTTTCTTTCTTTAGTACAGTTCTATAAGATAATCTATCCTTTTTTCTACATGATTACAGTATTTACAGGAACCATTTTTAAAATCTCTTCATAACACAAAGCTGTAAGACCTACACACTTGTAATTTGCATACCTTTAAGTACCCCTTCTATATTGATAATGACAGGAGGATGGCCAAGTCATACCAGACAACGAAATGATAACATCCCAATATGAAATGTTTATGTAAAATACCCTTATTGTTTAAGGTCTTAAAACGCAAGAAATACCTCTCTAAGTAGCCACAAAAAAAGTTATCCATTTATTTCTTTTGTAACTGTTCAAAATTATTTCAAATAATTGTTTCAGAACGCACCTAATGACGATTCATTTCGTGTATGAAAAGACCTGGTATTCAAAGACTATAATTATTCACGTTTTTATGAATAGTTGTTAATTTTCATTCAATTCAATTAGTATGTAGACATCAAATCAACTACGATTCTGATTTATTATGTACTGGATTCTTGTCATAAAATTAATTATGTAGGTCATAGTAAGCTAAATGTTTTGTTCAATTACATAAGTACAACGGAACGTCATTTGCCATTGGTTAATACGTGGTCATCGATCCGCGCTATTATTGTCATTTCCTTCTGTTATTTTGACCTCGGTATTGTTTTACGGACTGATTTTTTCACATCTTGGGTAATTGTGAGAGACATCATGCAAACTACACAACAAAGACAACTAGGTGTGCAATTGCTATGTGTTAATTGTAACATATGCATTGATACATTTCGCCGTCATCTCGTTTTTGAGCTTGATACCAGAGTAATTACTAAGATCTGCGAGTAGAATTCTTCTATAATAGTACATATTTACATGCCTATTTATTTTATTACACTAACATAATACATCATCATCATACAACTCAAATCGTACATCATAATACAACTCTAATTCTTATTTTAGATCACTGAAGAAGATTATGTATGTAATGCCTGTTAGCAATTGGCAATACAGCATGTCAACTCCGGGTTACTTAATGAACCTGGTGCCGCATCTTCCCGTGGCCACAACCATGTTTGCATACTTTGTGGAAGTTCTCTGAGGAGTCATAAACATGACCTTATTGTGACTTAGAATTCAAATTAATAAGTTTTCATCACCTATGATCATTACTAGAACTTTATCTCTTATTTTTGAATTTCATTTCATTATTGTAAATGTTAATATAATTTTAATTTCAGGTCATGTTATGTTACATCACAGCTCTATATATTTTACTTGCACCTCTCTAACCAGTGGGATTTGGTAACATGGCACCTAATATCAATATGGAAAAGGATTTACGATATTTGTCATGCTTTTTGGTTTTTTTAATTTTAAGTTTAATATTTTTACACCTTTTAGAGGAATTAGCAATACTACAAGCTAAGTGTAACAACTAGAATGTCATCTAAACAATTATTAAAATTAATTTATTCACGTTTTTCCAGATTTAATAGTTGAGTTTCTCCTCAAATTTAAATGGGATTATACTTGATTTACCTATTTTGTAAAAAAAAAATCTTACAGATAACAAAACCAGATTGGTTTATTAGTAAAAATCAGGATTTCTAAAGTTACTGAACTAAATAGGTATTATGGATATTTAGCTTTGCATTGTGTTATGGATAAATTTTTCCATCAAGTTATAATCAAATGTTTTTCAACTAAAATAATTTCTAATATTGTCATTGATAATCTATAAAACACAATTAAAATTTACTTACCTCTCATAGGCATGCCACCCCTACCACCTCCTCTGTCATTTCTGGGTCCAAAATCACCTCGGCCTCTTCCACCTCTTCCTCTCATGCCTCCACCAGGCCCACCTCGGTTGTTAAAAGCTCCTCCTAAATAATGAGAGAATTATATGGTAATTATTATATTAATATTTGGGCACTGAAAACTGTTGTACTTTTTAAGTATTTATTATATAAGTAGGAGAATAAAATCTATATCCGTCCTATGTGCTATGTGAATAAAAACCTTAATTCATACAGAGTTAAACTTGTTCCCTTCTCCTAGAATTGAATTTTTTGCTTTATTAATTCTTAACTGAATTTCATCAGGTGAAGGCACACAAACACAAGGTTTACAGCAATGTGATTAAACAAAAAATTAAGATACGCCTAAAACCTGTTTTACCTTTGTGCCAATTGAACACCAACATTTAGTTATCTTCCTAAAATACCATCTAGTTGCAAACATAAACAATATTTATTAGACATTGTAATAAATAGAAAACATTTTTATCAGTTTAAAAAATGTACTTTATCACTAACTAATTAAGGCTTACACATTAAGAAAAAGGAACAAAAATAAAGTGTATTACTAATGAAGAATATTAATCAGTTTAAATTGAGTGGAATTTACTCCTATTGGATTTCATAAGTTTACTGAAATCTTTTCGGAAACCGGCTTGTTCGGGATGCTGGAAGTTGTAGATTCTGCGTGAGAGACGATTCGCAATGACCCTTGAAAACAGCACGTAGACACGGCTCAAAAGGGAAATCGGTCTGTAGTTCTTCAAGAGAGCGTTGTCACCTTTCTTGAAGAACAAGACCACCGCACTTCTGCTCCACGCCTCCGGAGTAGTGCCACCATCGAGGACAGAATTGAAGAGCTTCTGAAGGACTTTAAGTACTGGTGTTCCACCCGCTTTCATAAGCTCCGCTGTAATTCCATTCTCTCCTGGGGCCCTGCCGTTTTTAAGGTGCTTGAGATTCATTCTAATCTCGCTCAGACTGATGTCAGGGATATCATCAGAATAGTGTCGGATAAGACATGGCTCTTGGATCATTACATTTGCGTGTGGCTCCAACAATGAAATGTACAGCTGCTCGTAGAACCTCTCAATATTACTCAAAATCTCAGGTGTCTCGGAAAGGATGTTGCCACACTCAGTCTTCAGTTTTGACAGTTGGCTCTTTCTGGCAGACAGATCTCTGGCAAAGACTTTGGAGCCATTGTTGCGCTCAATCGCTTCTTCTATACGAGCTGTATTGAAGTTGTGTAAGTCCTGCTGCATGCATTTGGAGATCTGTCTGTTCAGTAAGGACAACTCACACACATGGAATAACTATATATTGTAATTAGCAAGTGCTCACCATGTACCTTAACTAGCATTTGTTCTGTTGTGAAAGTTGCAAAAAAGATTAAAGATCATACCATTTTAAAACACCTAACTAGTTTATTGTAGTTATTTTCTAAGCTTAATAGTGTATAGTATTTTCCAAAGAGAAATGCAAGAAATAAGAGCAATTTTACAATAAATATTTTTGTCTTAATACCTTTGTCTTCTTTAATACTTCTACAAAAACATAACTAATTTTGCAAGAATGTTGTAACAATGATTTAGAAAGGCATGCTTCGGTTATTTTGCCATATAGAAAGAGACTTAGAACAGAAGAGTTGGGAAGGGACGCCCTAGACGAAAATTTATCAATCAAATTGGTGATATATTGAAATTGTGCTAGATTAAGAGTCCAACGAGCATGCATGCTTAAGTATATGGATGTAAAGAGGTGATAGGTTGTGTGAAGATTGTGCTGAATGGAAGTCCATAGTCTCTGCCTATCCCTTTGAGTGGCAAGCATGAGTGTTTATATGTTTATGTAATTAATCTCATAATCTCAAAAATATAAGTAATTTTAAAGAAATAAGTTATATTTACTCTATATGATAAAAACAGACACAAGGTAACAGTACAATTCACTCAATCAAGAGTCAGTAATTCATTCTTGGGGCAATTTATAACACTTTTAAAACAAAAAGTACAAAAAATTTATTAATAATAATAATCCAAAATAATCCCATGGTAATGAGGTTGGTGGTTGTCATCAATAATTGTAAACAACTTTCAATAAGTATTATTTATAATTTCCATATTGAATGAATAAAAATTTTACAACTAAATCAAATCAAAGAATCAGAGTTTTCATGCAGACAGTGTGGGTTGCTGCTGCCCAGCGCTGTTAGAACCAAAAAGGTTTTAAAATTTTTACAAGTATTTTTTGTTTTACGTGGTAGAGCCGTGCTGCAGTTATATTAGTAGTATAGTTGTAGCACGAATGGGTAGGCTCGATTGGGGATGGACTACGCTCTCACAGAACACCAGCGTCAAATAGTAGCTTAATGCTACTGTGTTTCGTATGGTGAGTGAGAACCAGAGATCCTTTTTACTGGAAATGAGGCATTCCACCTAAGTCCTCACGGATGACAACACATCTGCATTTTGATTCGTAATTGAGGATAGATGTTGATGTCTATGGGCCATAGCAACCACTTACCATCAGGTGGACTGTGTGCTCGTTTGTCATCACATCCTATAAAAAAAAAATTTAGAAATATAAAATTTGCATGGTTACATTACAAATTTTATTTTTAATATAATATGAAAAACCTTAACTCTTTTTAAAATTATTATTGTTCCCTCTAGAGATGCCACTAATATTTGGTTTCTATTTGGTATTTGGCCTATTCGGCCAATGTTCAATATTCAGTATTAGCTTGAATACACAGAATACCAAATAATGAAAAAGTCACACATATAATAATGAATATAATTTACCAAAAATACATTCAATTTTCCAGAAGTTGTGATGAATGAAAAAAATTCTTTCAGCATTTTTGTTGATAGCAACTGATTGCACTTTTATAATGATTTCTTATATTTATGCGAACACTACACATTGATTAAAACTACTTCTACAGATTTTATTCAGGTGCTTTCCAGCACCCATGGTCACGGGGGACTGAGGTGGCTGAAGTCCCGATGTCAATGTTAACCCAGAGTACCTTCAGCTTTTCCGATTGTCCGATCTACACAGAATGAACTCACTGTGTCGTGTCTAACTAAGCGCCGAATATTCGGTATTCGGCAAAATCATTTTTCTTGACATCTCTAGTTCCTAATGTTGTGAAAAATAGCAGGTTTTGGCAGTTTACGTTTAGTTAAGAAAAGCAGAATCGTACATTTAAATCTATTATACTCACACATAGTTTTACACTCTAAATGGATACAATGAAATGTAGTATACAACACAAATCTTAACAATATGCAAGAGAAAGATTGGTAAAATTTCTTTAGAAGGGCTACGTTTTAAGGTTATAAAATCATAATTCTTCTACTGGAAAAATTCCGTAAAAAACGAGCACTCACTTTGTGGAGGACCACCACGTGTTTCAATGGTCGGTACTGGATGTGGTCCAGGGCCTTGTGGTCCGGGTGGGAAGCGGCCACCTCTTTCTCCTGCACCTCCACGCATTGGACCTCCTCTGAAGCCTCGAGGACCTCCACGTGGACCAGGCCCTCCACGTGGTGGGCCACCGCGGCCTCTCATTCCAGGCCCGCCACTAGAAAAAAATTCTATATTATCCCTTACAAACAAAAATGATTGATCAATAGTTATATTTAATAAAATCAAATTTCAACCGAAAAGATAAAACGGCAGATGACTCACCGCCCACGCATATCGAATCCTCCTCGTCCTCTGTGACCTGGTGGGCCACCACGGCCGCCACCTCGGAATCCACCCCGGTTAGGCCCATCCATAGTTAGAACTTTATGAATTAAGATTCAGTGTAACTTAAAAATATAATTATTTAATTTTCCTAACGTGTTTTCCTGCCTTCCTTTCCTTAAACAAAATTCTAATTCCACCTATAGTTTTAACTACAAACAAAATGGCGCCAACGCGCAAACGCCAACCTCAAGCTTAGACCAATACATACCTTTGTAGTAGAAATAAACACACCTCTAAGTAGCAATGAGCAACTCAATAGATATTAATAATAAAATAAAAAAAAAAAATGTTTAAAAAAGCCACATACAATAATATTATGACAATAATAAATATCAGTAAAATCAACTTTCATACACAAACAAACTAAATGGGACCAATACGCAGTATCAGTAATCTATGCTAGGGACTCTAGGGTCTAGGCACATCGATCTAAAATCGATTAATCGAAAAATCGATTCTTCGGTGTAAAATAATTCACTGAATCAATCTAAAAACCTCTCGAATCGGACTGATCCATCTGATTCAAGAACTAGCGATGAAATTCCCAAACTGGCTGGGGTAAGATTCCGCAGTTTTTTAATTTTTTGCTGTTGAGGGACGCAAAAACAACCGGTCGTACTTGGTTGATAATTTGAACGCAATATATATTTGAATAAAATAAATATTTATGAACGCATCCAACAATATCGAAAAGTTGTCATTTCATTTTCATTTCTAAAATTCTAATTCCAATCTTACCTGTGGAATGTTGGTCTAACTAAATCTGTGCTGTGAACAAAGACTACATACACATACTACAATATAATATTACAGCTTTGAATTTGTTTGAACTGTAAACTTGTGAATTTACTTTATTTATTATCAAAAATAAACATACTGTGAGCTGTAAGTACAGACAGAGTACGTTTTAAATACCTAGATACTATAAATAAATATTATATGTTGAAGTTTATAGAGGTTTATAGTAAGAAAATAACCAGTATTGTAACAGATATTAGATAAACAGATTTACCGAGAAATGTACGTTGCAGTTTGCAATTTTGTTAAAGTATTGTTGTTGTTTTTAGCCTAAAATGTCAAATAAAAGTGATACATGGAATCACTTTGTAAAAAAGGGATCGAGTGACGTATGTGCGAACCATTCCTAACACAAGCGTTTCAAGCTTACCAGGAGTGGTTAAAAGGAATATTAGTAATGTTGATTAATAAGATTACTAATATTTTATTTTAAAAAAATATTAAAGTTCAATTAAAGAAAAAATCTCAAATTCTTGAAATTTCATTTTGAAAATGTCGCGATTAATTGAAAATCGAACTTTTAATCCTCGATTTAATCGATAATCGATTCTAGTATCTTCGATTCAAATCGATTCAGAGATCGATTTTTTAAGAGTAAATCGACATGCCTACTCAACTCCTGTACAGTGTTGCCTGGTCGTAGACACAGAATGCTATAGACAAAGTGATATCTTAAATCGCAGTCACACAAGAGAAAGAGTAACTTACGCCGATGTCGTGTAAAGAAATGAGAAAGAACGATGAGATTTTTTTGTTTCGCGCCTTTGCTAAATAAAGTTTGACAGCTAACGTGTAGCGTGATAAATTCTTTGTATAAAATACTGTTTTATGTGTTTTATGATAAGTATTTCATATTATATTTTGTTGTGAACAATTAAGACGTAGTATTCCAACCATTTTTATTTAAAACATGGTGCGGTGTAGTGTATTGGGGTGTAAAAGTGATAGTGAAAGGAAAATGGCGGGGTTGTCTTTTCATTCGTAAGTATACCATACTATCGGTTACTAGGCAGTCTGTAACATTTAATAAAATACATACATTGTGTATAATGTACTCTAGACGTAAATTTATCGCTAAAAAGTACAAAAATAACAATTGCAAATTTTAATCTAAAATCTTCGGTGTGGCCAACTTTTCTATAAGTTATTACCCACTATTATAGGAAATAATAATGTCTGCGTACCGAAGGTGTATTTTCCTAAGTCCATTTTTTTCGACATTCACTTTGTAATGTCATTGAAACAAAAAAAATAACGATCTACTTGGTGGTAAAGTATTTTTAAGTCCAACTAAAAAAACTACATGCTTTTGAACTCGTTAACATGTTTTAAGTCCAGGTTAATTTAAAGGTATACAATCTGATCTGGATTTATGCTTTTGTTCCGCTCAATTATCAAAAACAAAAGCATCCTAAGTCCAAATAAGATGAGAAGTTTGTTTTTGAACGTAAGTTGCACTTCATTATTTGTATTTATTTATTGTATTATGTAAATTGTGCCTTTGGCTGCGCTTGAAGAGGGTGTTCCAAGCACATCTCAAGATGTACCAAATTCTATATGCCAGAATATTTTACAACAAATTCATACTTAATAATCTACCAAAAAAATAAAAGATCGGAATAGAAGTACAATAGAGCAGACAGGAAAAAAGCGAATAAGAAATGATCTTAAGCTTACATGAACAAAAGTGCTGCATGTAGCACGAATTTCCGCATGAAATGCAGTACTAAAATATTCCAGCAGAATAAGAAAGAGATATTAGGATTCTCTGTCTACGTGCCTGGTATTGCCGATTGCCATTAGGGATCCGCAAAAGTATCGAGTACGTGAGTAGTATCGATACTTTTAATACGTAGTATTTTTGTACTCGATACTTTTAATAGAGTATTTTACTAGTATCGATTTTGAGATGAGCTGTCAGATGAAAGTAGATAGACACTACTTCCTTTTCCGATTTATAGCGTCATCCCTCTCGATTCTCGATGGATTGAGGATTTTGGGGGAGAACCCTATTATAGTATAAATAAATACATGTGTGACCAGGTAAATACATTTTATATTTGACGGTGCGTTTGATTATTTCGAAGATTATTTAGGAGTGAACGTCAACTGGATATACAAAACGCCATCTGTCGAAATAATCGGTTGTCGTTCACTCTGATGCAACACCCAGGGTTAGTGTGAGCAGGAGGAGGGACGACGTGGCAGTTCGCATCGAGACGGCAATCGGTTCACATCGCAAATAAGCATTACGTTCTTGTTGGAGTGTTTAACGAATCAGTGTCTCTAACAACTTTTGTTGTAATGCCCTAATTATATTTAGTTATTATTTAGTAATTATTTTAATTATACCCACGTCTAATTAAAGTCGAGTATGGATCCAGCGGAAATAGTTGACAACCCTGACGTCCCTTTATCAGAATTAGGATACGAAGGGCATCCGCAAGGAGAAGATAGCAATGCGCACGTGGCATCATCGCATAATTTACTGCGCAACAAGGAGGCCATATTATCTCGCATCTTGAAGACGCCGTCGCCCACGGATAGGAGATAGGGATAAAATAAGACATCTTATAGAAGCGGGAGTCATTCGTGAGAGTACGTCACCCTTCGCTAGTCCGATACTACTCGTTAAAAAGAAAGATAACTCTGATAGGATGTGTGTAGACTAGCGCGAGCTTAATGCTAATACCTGACCAGAACATTACCCGTTACCGATAATCGACGAGCAGATAGATCGATTTCACGGTGCTCGTTATTTTTCGTCTTTGGACATGGCATCAGGCTATCACCAGATTCCGATAGATTCCGAAGGCGACAACTTAGCTCGTACAGCTTTCGTAATATAAATAAGGAATATGAGTTCCTTGCCATGCCCTTTGGCCTAAGAAGTGCAGCATCAGTCTATCAAAGGTGTATTAACAAAGCTTTAGGTTCGCTTAAAGATACGGTGGCATTAGCTAACATGGATGATATCTTCTGTTATTCTGATAACGTCACGCGAGGCCTTAAACGTTTAAACTTTACACTAAAAGCTCTATGTGATGCGGGTTTTTCTTTGAACATTCATAAATGTAAATTCATGAAAAACGAAGTAGACTTTCTAGGTTATGTCGTAAAATCAGGGCAAATAAATCCCAATCCTAGGAACCGGTCTTGACGGTCTTTGACCCCAATTTCCCAGTAGAGCTTCATCGAGCGAGCTCAGAAGGGAACGGTGCAATACTTATTCAGCGACATAATAATCTGCCACATGTTATATCCTACTTTAGCCGTCGGACAACTGAAAGCGAATCGCGTTACCATTCCTACGAACTTGAAACCCTGGCGGTAGTCCGAGCGGTCGAGCATTTCAGACATTATCTGTATGGACAGCACTTCACAGTTTTCACGGACTGTAATTCCCTTAAGGCGTCGAAGTCTAAAACCGATCTTACACCCCGAGTCCACCGATGGTGGGCCTTCCTCCAAGCTTACGATTTTGACACTGTCTATAAGTAGCACGGAGCACGCCGATTTCCTCTCCAGAAACCTACTCGATGAACCTACCGCGAACTATCCCGATACCAATTCGTCCAAGAGAAACAAGTCCGTACAATTCGTTGAGCTTCATCAGGGTTGGCAGATGGTCAAACAAAAGAGGGATAGCGAAATACAGGACCTAATTAACAAGCACAACAACAAAGAACTGCCTCAAGCCGTTGCCCATACCTACGATATTCGAAAAGGGATACTTTATAGGAAAATTGAACGTAACTGGTTGCGCGGAAAACCATTCGTATTTATTCATTTTGACGGTAGGCTGCCAAATCGCTTATCCCTTTCCAAAACGATATCATTCCTACCCTCCTATTGACACATCGGGGTGGTGGGGTGGGAGGGGAAAGAAGATGATTCTAGAATATCACGTAATCATCGCAACCGAAGGTATAAAAGGCACGCGCGACCGACGCGCACCCTCTTCCCGCCGCGCTCGTCGTTGGAACCACACCGCCTAGGATAATAGTGTCCTAAAGAGCTCCTCTTCCCGCCGCGCTCGTCGTTGGAACCACACCTCCTAGGATAATAGTGTCCTAAAGAGCTCCTCTTCCCGCCGTGCTCGTTGTTGGAACCACACCGCTAGTAGAACCGCTTTAGCCTGGAAGCAGTCGAGCTCCAGGAAACCCGCCTCACCCCGTGTGAAAAATAGTTCTAGAAGAAGTTCCAGAAGTCGCAGCTATAGTGCCCAACA